AGATTTTGAAGGGCAGCTTGTATTAATTTTCCAAAACAATCTTCAGATTTGCTCAAGATTTCAAATTGTTTATATTTTACCTATATATTTATTAATCATGAATATGTGTTGCGGCTAAAAAATTGCCTAAAACTTTGAATACATTTTCTCATGTAGCTCTTAATCCGAATGCTCGGCATCAACTTTGCTATTGGCATTCTTTGGTGTAGTTTCTGCCTAAGAAAAACACTTGCAATCGATTGTTTTATAATATTAACATAGCATTAATTATGCGATTACTGATCTATACATATGTATGTGCATATGCATATATAAGCGAATGTATCACATGTCGTTGTATACATTTATTTGCCTTATGTCTCTTTCTGGTCAATATGATATTGTATGCTATGTCTGAAGTCTCAGGTCTGAGGTGTCGAAAATCGGCAACGGCTTTGCTCATGTGCAGAATTTGATTAGTCACATGCAATTTCGGGGGGGTCGATTGCTCGATTCAAGGGAGTCTTTAAAGGAGCAGGGGTTGGAGGGAGGGAGGGAGGGAGGGCAGCTTTGGCAGTATTGCTGAACAACAAAGTAGCACGTGAGACCGAATTCTCTTGCGTCAATATTCGTCGTGCATATAAAAAACAAAAACATTAAATGAATAAAATTATGTTTCAATTATGCTCACACGCGCCAGATTTGGTTGATATAATGGTTGATTGTTAGACAAAAATGGATTAAAATTATATAAATTAATATATATTGATAGCTTTGTATACCCTACACTGTTTAGAGTATTCTAATATTTGTAATCAGTTGAATTTGATATTCGAATTGTGTGCTTTCGATCTCAACCCTGTTGCAGGTTATCGCGGCAACATTTCATGTAAAACCGTATTGCAATTGGATAAATTTGCGCCGTACGAGACAACCGAAAAGGATTTGATCGAGCGGCGTTTTCAGGACATCACCAATGACTATGACAAGTCACCGCCACCCACAGCGGCAACCACGCCCACACACTATCCCACGCTTAACAGCATCATCTTTGAGAACGGCAACAGCAGTCTGAGCGATCTCAATGGCAATACCAAAACGGATGCACTCTGCGCGGGACTGCAGCGCGCTCCGACGTCTTTGGGTGGCACTGGCGCGTCCAGTGGGGGTCATCTGATATCAAATTTAACTGCAGCGCACAACATGTCCGCCGTGGGCAGTTTTCCGATCGACGCCAAAATGCTGCAGTTCTCCACGGATCAGGTGAGCCAGTGCCGCACTTTTTCATATGTTTCGGTACCTAATCGAAGCTCTCCACTCGTTCGTGCAGATTCAGTGCATGTGTGAGGCCCTGCAGCAAAAGGGTGACATCGAAAAGTTGACCAACTTCTTGTGCAGCCTGCCGCCCAGCGAATTCTTCAAGACCAATGAGAGTGTGCTTCGCGCCCGCGCCATGGTCGCCTATAATCTGGGCCAGTTTCATGAGCTCTACAGCCTGTTGGAGACGCACTGTTTCTCCATGAAATACCATGTGGATTTGCAGAATCTCTGGTTTAAGGCGCACTACAAGGAGGCGGAAAAGGTGCGCGGCCGCCCCTTGGGCGCTGTGGACAAATATCGACTACGCAAAAAGTATCCACTGCCCAAGACAATTTGGGATGGCGAGGAGACGGTCTATTGCTTTAAAGAGAAGTCACGCAATGCCCTTAAGGATTGCTATCTGACAAACCGATATCCCACGCCCGACGAGAAGAAGACGCTGGCCAAGAAGACGGGCCTGACACTGACGCAGGTATCCAATTGGTTCAAGAATCGCCGGCAAAGGGATCGCACTCCGCAGCAAAGAACGTAAGTTTAACATACAAGAAAATAGAACTATTTTTTTCTATGTCGCCCAAAACTAATTACAATATGTTTTCCACATAACTCGTAAAACAATTCATTCAACGCTTGAGAGTGCGCATGTTCCTTAAATAAAAAAAAAAAACTCAATTGTTTTCAAAATTGGCATTAAAAAAAATCGTTTAAGTGACCGTAAAACACTTGCGTTTGCGTCGCCCTCCCCGTCCCAGGCCCATTCCCGATTTCAGTCCCAGTTCAGTGCGGTCCGGTGCCATTTTTCTTAAAGGCACTTGAGCGTGTTTTATGTCCAATTTTGCAGCTCCTTGTGCGCACGGTCCTATGCATATTTATAGACCTCTTCGGGCTCTGGTCGCCAACGTTGACGTGCCCCGATGCCGAAACTGAGCGCATGCGTGTAGCATGTGCCTCAATTGTTGCCGCACTCCCCGCTGTGTTTGATCGTTTACGGGCGTCAAATTGCATACACTCTCTAACACATACATATGTACATATGTATATGTGTATGTGTACATACATATATTTACACACACCCACATTCACATACATTCACTTGTTTAAATATACGTATATTTTCTTTCAGTGATTTAATGCTGCCTGTGGGCCAACTGGATGCCAATAGATTCCCGCGCATGTTCAACGCCCCCAGCTATTATCCCGAATCTATTTTCAATGGACAGTAAAATGCGTTGTACAATCTAAATGCGCAGGCGCTGCTTTGTAAATACAAATTTTAATGTTATATTTGGGTCATCAAATGACGTTATGTTTCTAGTTGTAGAGTAAACTTTAATTTGCTTTATGTACTGTACAATAATAATAATGCAATTGCAATAAATAAATATAGAAGAACAAAAATCGAATTTAAACGGGTTTTTTCATGGTTGGGTAGCACTTGTCAAAATCGCTTTCAACAAACTATCGTAAAATTATAAAATATCGATAAGAAACATATTAAATTATTTACGATTATTTAGTATATCCATGTCTCTATTCTCTTTACGGCCAAAACAAGGCCTCATTATCATCAACTATATTCTTTCCAATAATTTCGATGGCATTTCAATAATTTTTTAAAACGCATTTTCAAATTTCATGTACAACAATTTCAAAAAAAAAACTCACCCGTTTTCAGTGTGACCGTAGCCAGTCTTAAGCTGTTGACCTCAAAATATATATAGAAAATCGATATTGTGTTTTTTATCGGTTCCGCTTTCGATTATTTGGCAGGTGCTAAAAAAAGAAAAGAAAAAACATTAAGGCATTGAACACGGAATGACAAACAACTCAAACGGTCGATTAAGCGAATACTTCGCCAACGATCCGCCCAGTTTTTTTGATGAGCTGACAAATAACAAATCAAGAGCCAAGGAAACGCAGCCAGCGAACGCAGCTGAAACAAACAGCAGCAATATGTTGGCCAGCACATTTACGGGCTGCTTTCAACCGCCCGAGTATGTAGAAGCTGCCGAAGCGGATGAGCCTATAACAGTATCTGACGAGGTGAGAAACCTCTGGCAGCTGCCCACTCCAAGTGAACCGGGCAAGCAGGCAACACATCTGATTACTCCAGGCTTACACATAGCAAACGATTTGGTAAATAATAAAATATTTAACTACAGATCTAACGCTAACGCTCAACTCTTGTAGCCCGACCCCATAAGCATTGCGGTGACTCAACATTTGGGCCAAGCTGAATTGCAGCAACGCAAAATCCTTGGAGTGGAGGATGTCACGCAAGATGAGCGTGGCATACGGACGCTAATAAACGCCGGCTGCTTTCGCGCTGCTGTCAATCTGACGGGCCGACTATTGACCATATACGGCCAAGGCTATGGACGCGCTGGTCAGCCAGCCAAGCATTCACCACATTCACTGCAATTGTGGTTTACACGCCTCGCATTGCTGGCCAAGCTGGGCGAATATGAGCTACTGCAGGCAGAAGCTGAACCCTTTGACCAGCTAAATGGGCCGGATGTGTTTTACGAGTACTACACGGAGATGTATAAAGGAAAACACGGCTCCATAGCGTGTTTCTCGTTTCGGCTCCTATTGGCCGAACTGCCCATCTATCTAGGCAAGCCGCATCTGGCGCTGGATCGCTTGTCCGAACTACATGTGATCAGCAATGAAATCAAAGAGCATTATGATAGATTAAAGAATGCAAATGCAGCTGAATTTTGGCAGCGGCGTGCCGAGCGCGTTTTGCAGTCAATAATCAACTGTGCTCTAATGGTCAGTGAGTTAAGGACACTTAACAAAATTCATTAAATAACTTTGTTCTTTTTTAGATGAAAAAATTCAGCATGATTGATGACATTATGGGCGGAATGCTGCTTACACGCTCTACACTTAGCAAAGAGGAACAGCGCTCCCTTTATTCGGCTTGGGGTCGCATTTATCTACAAATTGGTGATATATTTGGGGCAGAGCAAAAATTTGCCGTCTCCCGGCGTCTGCGTGAGATGTGAGTCAATTTATTAATATTGTTTTTTCAATCGAATATCGAATATCCTTTTGTGTTATAGTAATTCACCACCTGATTTGCGTGATCTGGTGGACAAGGGGCTTATAGCCGTGGCCAAAAATGATTTTCCAGAGGCCTATCTAATTTTTCAAAAGGCGCTGCATTTGGACTCGGGCAATACAATGATACTGAACAATATGGGCGTATGTTTGCTTTATGCCGGCAAACTAAAAGATGCTATCAATTTGTACGAGCGAGCAATCAATCTGAATCCGCAAAAATCATTGAACGAAAGTTTGCTAGTGAATTTATCCACATTGTATGAACTGGAATCTAATAATTCCAATGCGAAAAAGTTAAATTTGTTACGTTTGATAAACCGATTTAAACCGGATCTCAATATAAGTGTAGAAATTTGCCTTAAATTGCAGGCAACAAATTAGATACAAATATATGTAAATACTGTTGGTAAACATTCCAAAACTCCATCCAGATTGAATAAAATTCAACCTAAAACAACTAGTATTTCGAAGATACTTTTGTGTTTATATCTATATACTGCACATGACTGGTGCTGGTATTTTTCAGAAGTTCTCATGTACATTATTATCTTATCGATTGTTAAAAAGGCACCTGTCGGCAAGATATTATAATAAATATTAAGTGTAAAACTATGACAGGTTTAAAGAATACCGTCAATAATTATTGCCCGTTATAAATATTATTATAGTTAACGATTATAATTTATTTTTGATAATTCAAAATTTCCGATACGTTTCGGCCACCAGTTATGCCAACATTTGTGGCGATTGGTCACACTTAGCTGGTGAAGTACTTCTGGAAGAAGAGTTTTTCAGGAATTTATTTATAAAACATAAATAAATCGTATCAAATAATTACGTACATACGTTATAAATGTTTGAAAACACGTTGTTCGTATTTTGTATAATAGGATAGTTGAAAATAGGTGAGTTTAGTGGCATTTAAACGCGTTCGAAATATGACCATACGAAACAGCAGCAGCAAGGCGTAGTTTATATTGATGTGGTTGAAAAGAAAGTGTAGAGAAATTTTCGGTGCAGTCACAATGTTGTTTATAAATCTATATAATCGACAAATGCCACAAATATATGTATGCGCGCCAAAATGTAACGAAGCGACAACCAAAATAACAAAAATAAAAATATCAATTATATGACAATTTTCTTTTTAGCTGTAATTAGTGTGCTGAGTGTTTTGATGGAAAAAGCGCGCCATTATTTCTGTGCCTGACATGACGTAGACACGAAACCACAGAGCAGCACTTGAATGTTGTTAGTGTATTTTTTTATAAGTCATTGCAATTGTTTATGGCAAGTAATGCAATCGGCATTAGTGTGTGTGCGTGTGTGTGGATTGCAGCAACAAAGTTGCCTGCAAATAATTTTTGTATATTTTTATTTGTGCGGTGCGCATACGCTAGGTACACGCTCGTCAAAACATATACACAAGCAGGCAGAAAATCTCTATTCTTTTGCAATTTGTTTTGATTTCTCATTCGTGTCTGTCATAGCGGCTCTCGCTCTCAGTTGCTCTCTCTTTGTTGCTCACAAAACACATGCGCACCGCTCTCAGCCAGAGCAAAAGCTCCAGCATGTGGGAGTTTTTCAGGGGAGTTGGGTGGGGGCAGCAAATGCGTGCTCATAGCTTTATAATAACGGCATATTAATTCATATATAGATGCGTACACATTGATGCGTCATATTTATGACGATCCTTCTGCTCTGACACTTGCGCGTACTCTCCGGCTTGCGTTGCTGCTTCGCTGAGTGTTTCTTGCCGACTAGTTGCCGTTAAGCTGGAGCCCAAGTATTTTACTGCTTGTCAGACCAGCGGGCACTCTCACATTCGCGCGCACGCTCTCGCTCTCCCTCTCGCGATTGAAAAACGTAAACAAGAGCTGTTAATAATGTATATATATGTGTGTGTGTGTGTTTGTGTTTTGCTTTTGCAGAGCTCAAATGGCAGCTAACAACAACAACATGCACAATCTGGGAGCGCTGCAGGTGCCACCATCGGTGATCGCCTCCACGGGCTCAGTGGGTCCCATGATGCAGCCGAGCACTAGTGCACAGAGTGCTTGGGATCAGCTGACGGCGAGTGCATCCAACAATATGACGCCATCGCCGACAGCGGCACCAGTAACAACAACAGGTACTGCGGATGCAGCTGGACACATGATGAGCGCAGGTAGCTCACCTGTGGCTAGCTGCTCGTCACCATCGACGCCCACGAAAACACACCACGTCCCGCCCACGCTGGAGGCTATGGCCCATACGCCGCAAGGGCCACCAACTCTTGGACCTGGTGGATATGGTGAGGAATTGACCGCCGAGTTAGTGAACCAGGGCTGGCGTAAGTTTTGGTCAAAGCGCGAGAATCGGCCGTACTACTGGAACAAGGTTACCGGCGAATCGCTTTGGGAAATGCCCGGTGCACGTCCCTTTGATCCGCTCACCGATCCATTGGGCATTTGCCATGGTGGTGGCGTTGGCGTTGGTGGCCCAACGCCAATGACGCCGCATCAGCAACAGCATCAACATCATCATTTGAAGCGTCGGCCCTCGGACGACATGCACATACACCCGCACCCGCATCATCAGCAGCTACAGCAGCAGCACATGGGTCCGCACGGTGGGCCGCCTCTGAAAAAGTTTGTGCTAGCCGGTCCCTGGGATTTGGAGGTTTGCACCAATGCAGTAATTGTTGAGCGTCCACCCACGTTACTACCACAGCCGCATCCAGAGATCGAAGCGTTGCGCGCCGCCTTCAGCATGAAGCTGCTCAAGACATACGAGGATTTATGCATGCGCAGGGAAAACATCAAAGCGCCGCGAGACTCCTTTAACCGCTGGCTCATGGAACGTAAGGTCATTGACACCGGGTGTGATCCATTGCTGCCCAGTAACTGCCTGCCTGAAATCTCCAGCGCCATGTATCGAGAGATTATGGCCGATATACCTATTAAGATTGTCAAGCCCAAATTCACGGGCGACGCACGCAAACAGCTCTCACGCTACGCGGAGGCGGCCAAGCAGATCATCGAGTCTCGTTCTGCGCCGGCAGAGTCCAAGAAGGTTGTAAAATGGAATGTGGAGGACACATTTCAATGGTTGCGCCGCACGGTGGGCGCCAGCTATGAGGACTTCCAGGATCGTTTGGCGCATCTGAAGCGCCAATGTGAACCGCATTTAGTGGAGACCGTGAAAAGCTCCGTGGAAACGTTATGCATTAAAATCTACCATCTGTCGGCGGAGCATGCGCGTAAAATACGGGAACGCCATCTGCAGCTGCTCAAGGAGCATGGCATACCGGAACCAACGCCGCCACCGCCTCCTCCGCATCTAAAGAAGGTCTGGTGCTATCCCATACAGTTTGCAGTGCCCTCGCCACGTATGCCGGCCATTGAATATCTTCAGGATCGCGATCATATGATCATCAAGTATACGCCCGCGACAATCAACCAGCCGGATGCGCAGTATATCAACCTCACCTATCTCCAAAAGCTGGAGCAGCTCTATCGTCACAATTGTTTCGACGACAAGAAGTTTGATCTGTTCATTGGACGCGTCTGGTGTCTGCTCAAGCGCTATCAGACCTTCTTGGGCAATGCTCTCAACTCCTCCCAGGAGGCGGAACTCACCCAGGCTGCTTTGCCAGTGCCAGTTTTTGAGTGCCTTCACAGGCATTTCGGTGTCAGCTTTGAATGCTTTGCATCGCCATTTAATTCCTATTTTCGGCAATATTGCTCGGCATTTGCGGATACGGATGCCTACTTCGGTTCCAGAGGGTAAGTCAACAAAAATACAATTATCATGGCCACTCCAATGGCATCCAAACTGAACTGACCATGGACTGACCATAACCATAGAATACATAATGCTATGTAATCGTGATCTCATATAATCTAATTGTGAACTTACACTTTTTTCTGCCTGCAGACCATTTCTGGACTTTAAGCCCGTTTCCGGTTCCTTCCAAGTGAATCCACCGCATTGCGAGGAGCTTATGGATGCCTGCCTTTTGCACATTGATAAGCTACTCACCGATTCCATGGAGCCACTAAGGTAAGTTGCTAAGGGATCGTATCCGCTATCCGTGGCTACCTGAAAAAAGGCATACGTTAATAATTCCCAAAGCAATTATCTGAAATGTGTGCTAATATTTTTGTAATTGTTAACACAGCTTCATTGTCTTTCTGCCGGAGTGGAAGAGTATAGCGAAGCTGGAGGAGAGCATGTACAAGCGTCGCTCAATGGTGGTGCTGGGCATGGCGCACGAATACCGACATGGCTACCAGCATATGATGCAAAAGTGAGTAGTTAATAAATTTATCAATTGCAGAGCGATTTCAACTAATTATTCAATGTACTCTAACAGATCCGAGGTGCTCGTTAAGTGCATGCAGGGCACTCAAGTTGTTTGGCTGCAGAATAGCGCCGGCTATGCACGCTGGGGACCCAATGAGAATCGAGTCGAGGCACTGCGAGAAGCTTTCAGACCGCAGCGCGATCGTGAGCGCGAGCGTGCCGCTGCTGCCGCAGCCGCCACTGGCGCCAATAACAATCAACAGCAGCAGTCGCCACCGTCAACAACAACGCCGCAATCGACGGCTTCATCAGCTGTTGCCATAGCAACCCCTGCGACACCCACAACAGCAAATAGCAATAGCCACACATCAGCAGCTGTATCTGTAGCTATCACAACGAGCGCCAACAGCATCGGCAGTCCCGTGTCAACAACGTCTTCCGTGCTAACGCCCCTGTCGCCGCACACGCCCACTGGCACACCATCGCAATTTCCGTTGACCATTAGCAACACGAGCAGCAGCAGCAATCTGGTGGCCGCCTCACCAACGATGAGCGTTCAAAGTGATTGCTCATCTCCGTCATCGTCGACAATGTCATTGTCGCCGGCACCTGCCTCGGGCGGCTATCCGGATGGTGGCACAACGGCAGCAGCGGCTGCTGTTAGCATAACGGCAACAGCCAGCACATCTGCAGCCTCAGCGTTTGGACCAACAACTAGCATTAACAGCACAGCGGTCATCAATTCGGCTGTTTAGATTGATTGCGAGGGAGGATAACATTTTGTAAACTACTCGTCTTATCTTTTTAAGCTAACTGTGCACCATGGGGCTAAGTACCACTATTGTGTTTCCTTCATTTAGAGTTTATATTTTAAGTATAGTTTTTAAAATATCTTGAGGGTATTCACAGCATTAGACTTATGACTCTTACAGCTTAAGCTTGAAAGTAATTGTTTTTCTTACTAAGTAAATCTTTTGATATAAAACACAGAAAAACTCCTACATTTTCTTTTTACAATTTTAAGAAAAGAACTAAGCTCGATTTTCTATCTTTTAGCTGGTTTCTTTTTCGTTAGATAAGTCAAAAGTCTGTTCTGTCTGTGAGTGCCCTTGAAATGAATGGTTACAAGTTTAAAGTTAAATAATTGTACATATGTTTTTTATCAATTATAAATAGCTGATACTTAACCACGGCCTGGCTGTCGTTAGTCTTTGCAATTCACCCTGAACAAGGGCCAAGCTACCCAAAAAAAAAAACGAATAATATGGTTCAGATATGCATACAAAGTATGGGTAGAATGGGTTCCACGTATCCTGATAAGGGTAATTAAACAAATTAATTGTTTTCCAAATCCTTAAAACAATATAAACACACACACATAAACACATAAAATACAAATCATGCACTAGCACAGGAGATCAAGCAATATTTTTGATTATTCATTCCGTGCTGCACCATAACTTTATATACAATATATGAGTAAGACCCAAACAATCTTTTGTGAGACTATAAACATATAATTTAGGATTATTACTAATTACAAAACTAATTTATCGTATGTACAAATCGATAAAACCTTTAACTTAAGTAGTGGAAAAAAATATACATATATAAACGGATCGCGCAGAGAACCAAATTTGTAATAGGACATAAGCAAAAGCTACGCACCGCACAAATAACATTATAAACCTTAAAGGGGATTGTCACAATTGAATCTATTGGTTAGCTTAAAACCAGATCAATTCAGTTCTAGAGTTTTCATTTAAGCTGCCAATAGAAGCCATCGTGAACACGCCCATATTTTAATGGGAATTTAGCCAATTTAATAGACACGTAGAAAATAAAAAGAATCGGCAACTATAGATAAAAATAGAATGCTAACTATAAGTTTGAAAAATATCAACTAAGCTGAACTATTACAACACCCGGCCACCCCACCACCTCTCCTTAACAAGATATGTTAACTTTTTTTAACACACGAAAAAAAATCCGGCGCTCTTGTCGCATAGATTAACAAATTGCATAATTAAAGTTTCTTTCAATTATTCAAACCGGTTTTTATTATATTTTTTAAATATATATTCGTACTGTATATATGTATGTGTGAGTTAACTTTTGGTAGATATTATGGATATGGATAAGCCGTTGACAATTAAACCTAAATGCTTAAACGCAAACCTTCTAAATGATATTAATTCAATTTACAATGATTAGTTGAAGCAGCAAATTTTCCATATACAATATATATATGTATATATATATATATATAAAGCCAAGTTATATAAGCCTCGTCATGCCTTTTACATGATCTCTAAGCTAGAATCACTGTTCTTGGTTACTACCTCAGTTTCGGAGGAGCCCGAACCGGAGCCAGCATCATCGGGCTTTTCATTATCATCCGACTGGCTATTGTTGCTATGGCGATGATGATGCGGCGAACCGGCCAACTGCCAAGCAGGTATCGAGGGCACCGCAATGGGTTGCACAGGTCCGGCAAATTGTTTGCGATTTAGCAGCAAACCCTTAATGGCATCCAAATCACATCGAAAATTGTTGAATTCACGATTCATCTGTTGGGTATGCTCCTTCTGTTGCAGTGTTATCAAGTCCTTGACCAATGTAATCTCCTTATTAAGCGCATCGGTGCGGTCTTCCACCTTCTTGTCAATGTCTACCAAGACATCCGCAACGGGTTTTCTCTTGGGCTTGCCAAACAGAAACGGCGCAATGTATTTCTTTGAGTGAGAGGAGAAGAATTAAGCACAATGGGAGCATGTTATTATATATTATAGCCACTAACCCGCCAGAACAAAAATATGGCATAGACGACTCCGCTGAACAAAGCAGTCGTGTGCAACAACTCACGCAGTCTGCCAAAGGCAGTTTGCTGTTGCTGCACCGCCAGCTGAGAGCCAATATTGATAACGGTATTGGGATTATTTGGATCTTGGCTAAAGACACCGGCCCGCTCGCAAGCCAATTGTATCTCATGCGCAGTTAGACCTTTGGACCGAAGAAACTGCTGTTTCTGGACGAGTGTTGTGTGTCGAACTTTGGTATTTTGTAGAAAGCTAACAGCTGTGGTTATCTATCGCATGAAGATTATAGATTAGACAAAGTCGAAAGGGCCTGGTATAAAGGTTTACTTAAGCAACATACCAGCGACTCGCGCGGCTCAAGTGGCTCCCCATCGATAGAATTGGGGTTGAAATCCTGCACAGTAGCACTTGTTGTGGTCAGTATGGTTGTGTCCCCGGTGTCCGTGTTGCTGTTCGCCATTTTAATGTTAACGCTTATTTCAATTTTGTTATTTGAGCAGAAAACCCAAGTGCTAATGCAGCAAGGGGATTTAGGCTGGCAATGGCTGAATACAAAACATCGATATATCGTGGTGATTGTCGATATATTTTTGCAGGGCTTATCGACATGCGATATAATTTTAAAACGGAAAATACACAATTTAGTAAACTAATCTATCTTTATCTATTTTTCAATATATATGCATATAGAGAAATATTTGTTCACACAATATTGAAAATATCAGGATATTGTCGATTGTCGTGTAGTGGATAGTGAAGTACAATTATTTGACGGACTTCAGTCAGGTGGCAACACTTTACGATCACAGGTGGCAACTGCCAAGCAGCAATCATTATTTCAATTAACGCTTTTACACTATCTCCTGTGTATTTTTATAGTCAGCTATTTTCGTTAAAAATTCGCTGCATTATTATTGATAGTCAGTTCTTTAAAGTTTGATGATTTTAATTTATTAACTTGGCATAGTGTTTGTTTTGGGCATTCAGTGCATTGGAATGCAAAAGTGTCTGTATGCGCCCAGTGCCAGCGATACTTGTTAGCTGGCAACGCTGCTTGCACTCACTAAAATCGCCTGCAGTTTTTGTGCCCCACGGAAAAAGTGAAAAAAATCGAATTTAAGTCAAGTTGTGCCCACATAGACACAAGATAATGTCTTGTGCCGCAACTCTAACAACGGCTAAAGATTCGACAAATGCTGCTGCCAGTGCATCATCTTCGGCTACCTCCGTGGGTGTGGTAGTCAGCGGAGGTAGCACTGTGGCTGCTGGTGTTGGCAACGGGGGCAGCGGCGGCGGTGCAGGTGCTGCTGCTGGCTCAGCTGCGGCGGTCGCCCGACGCTTTTCCATGGAAGGAGTTGGTGCGCGTGTGATTCGTGGCCCGGACTGGAAATGGAACAAGCAGGTTGGTATCGTTGTGATCAACGGTCCGAGGAAGCACCCCTCAGATATTGCCTATTCTTTCTCGCAAAATTAATTAAATCAATGCGGCCCTGACTTTTCAATAACAAGCTATACACTTTCGACGGACAGGGTCTTAAGGCTTTGTCATGAGGCTTGCGTTGATTACATCAAATTTTAATTGAGCTGATTTTTTTTATTACTTTCTTCAACCCTTTTGAAAAATCTACATTCAATATTTTATAAGGGAGGACTTGACCTTGTAATTTAAGCTAAGTGTGATAAATGTTCTAAAAATTATCCACCTCTGCCGGTGGAATCATCAATAAGGCCGCTTTAATATATAGGGCCCCCCTTAGAATAATAAAACTTAGGGTATTCAAGGTGCGAACCCATAGATTGTCTGCTTGATTTGTTCTGTTTTCTATTGACACTGACCTCTTCGAGGTGGCTTTGGGGTCGATCTGAAGATCGCCGACAAGATTGTGCAACGCACCGAGTGCACCCTTAACAGTTAACAGTTAGTAGATTGAGCACAGCGGAGCATTGAGGAGCGTTGGGGAACAGGCAAATGCGCTTTAATTATAATTTTCGCGTTGTGATTAGCGTGAGTTGCGAGTGTCATCTTTTTTAGCGTGTTGAATGTGGCGTGAGTTGAGGCTGGAGAAACTAAATGAATCTCTGTCTGTTGCAGGATGGCGGCGAGGGGCATGTGGGCACGGTGCGCAACTTTGAGTCCGCCGAGGAGGTGGTCGTTGTCTGGGACAACGGAACCGCTGCCAATTATCGCTGTGCCGGCGCCTACGATCTGCGCATTCTGGACAGCGCACCCACTGGCGTCAAGCACGAGGGCACCATGTGCGATACGTGCCGCCAGCAGCCCATATTTGGCATACGCTGGAAGTGTGCCGAGTGCATCAATTACGATGTATGCTCCATATGCTATCACGGCGACAAGCATCATTTGCGTCATCGCTTCTACCGGATTAGCACGCCGGGTGGTGAGCGTGCAATGGTTGAACCGCGTCGCAAGTCCAAGAAGGTGCTGGTGCGCGGCATCTTTCCAGGCGCTCGCGTTGTGCGTGGCGTCGACTGGCAGTGGGAGGATCAGGATGGCGGCGTTGGACGTCGCGGTAAGGTAAACGAGATCCAGGATTGGTCATCCGCATCGCCGCGCTCAGCGGCCTACGTAATCTGGGATAATGGCTCGAAGAACTTGTATCGCGTTGGCTTTGAGGGCATGGCGGATCTCAAGGTGGTGAACGATGCCAAAGGCAGCAATGTATATCGCGATCATTTGCCGCTGCTGGGCGAGAATGGGCCGGGCAAGGGGCCACATGGATTTCAAATTGGCGACAAAGTCACCGTTGATTTGGATCTGGAGATTGTGCAATCGCTGCAGCATGGACACGGCGGCTGGACAGACGGCATGTTCGAATGCCTCAGCAATGCGGGCATGGTCGTTGGCATTGATGAGGATCATGATATTGTTGTTGCCTACAACTCTGGCAATCGCTGGACATTCAATCCAGCTGTGCTGACCAAGGTATCTTCGCCAACAACAGCACCGCCCGAGTTTCAGGTGGGCGACATCGTCAAGATCTGCTCGGATGTGGAGAGCATTAAAATACTGCAGCGCGGCCATGGCGAATGGGCAGATGCCATGCAGTTGACATTGGGTAAAATTGGACGCGTCCAGCAAGTTTATCATGACAACGATCTGAAGGTGGAGGTGGGCAACACTTCTTGGACATACAATCCACTGGCTGTCTGCAAGGTGGTTTCCTCCAGCGGTGCCGGGCCTGGTGCTGCAGTCACGGGCGATGGCAACTGTGCTCCAGTCATCCCCAGCGGTGAACGCCTCTCCGCCATTCTAAAAAAACTTTTTGAGCCCAACGTATCCGGTGATGCCACCGAGGAGTTTGTCAAGGCTGCAGCCAATGGATTTGCGGTTAGTTGGTCCCTTGTTATATTTATTACCATTTGCTTATGTTTTGCTCATCATTGCAGTCCCGTTGTGAGGAGTATTTAGCTGGCGCCACACAGCCTTCAACGTCCAGTGCGGCGGCTGCCGCGGCTGCGGGCAGTCCCAGCGGCGGTCCCGTGCCGGAGGTGAATGTGAATGGTGTGTTTGCGGGTCACACTGCGCTGCAGGCCGCCAGCCAGAATGGCCATATTGAGGTCATTCAAGTGCTCTTGCGACACTCTGTCGATGTAGAGATCGAGGACAAGGACGGCGATCGTGCCGTGCATCATGCGGCCTTTGGCGATGAGGCAGCTGTCATTGAGATTTTGGCCAAGGCTGGCGCAGATCTAAACGCACGCAACAAACGTCGCCAGACATCGCTGCACATTGCCGTCAACAAGGGGCATCTGAATGTGGTCAAGACGCTGCTCACTCTGGGCTGCCATCCCAGTTTGCAGGACTCCGAAGGCGATACGCCGCTCCACGATGCCATATCGAAGGTAGAGATTTAACAAAATTTGGAAAAGATATCTTCGTGGTGTCTTGCCTGATAAAATATTCTGATCTTAGCTGCAGCAGTTCTTTTTTAAAAAATTTATTTTTTTTTTTTTGCAGGAGCATGATGAGATGCTTTCGCTTCTGCTCGACTTTGGAGCTGATATCACGTTGAACAACAATAATGGATTCAATGCGCTGCATCATGCAGCGCTAAAGGGCAATCCGAGCGCCATGAAGATATTGTTGACTAAAACGAATCGACCCTGGATTGTCGAGGAGAAAAAGGACGATGGCTATACGGCATTGCATTTGGCTGCACTAAACAATCACGTAGAAATCGCCGAATTGCTCGTCCACATGGGCAAAGCTAATATGGACAGGCAGAATGTGAATCTGCAGACGGCACTCCATTTGGCCGTGGAGCGGCAGCATGTCCAAATTGTTAAGCTGCTGGTGCAGGATGGCGCCGATTTGAATATAGCCGATAAAGACGGTGATACCCCGCTGCATGAGGCACTGCGTCATCACACACTGTCACAGCTGAAGCAGCTGCAGGATGTCGAGGGCTTCGGCAAGCTGCTGATGGGTCTGCGCAATGCTAATAACAAAAAGGCATCCGCATCTATTGCCTGCTTCCTGGCGGCCAATGGGGCCGATTTGACGCTGAAGAATCGCAAGCTGCAAACACCGTTAGACCTGTGTCCCGATCCGAATCTCTGCAAGACGCTTCTGAAGTGCTACAACGAGCGTAAAACCGATGACGCCGAGCTACCAGGCAATGTGGCCGGCACGAGTCTCAATGCACGTGCGCGTGCTCAAAGCGCAGCTGCAGCTGGCACTGCAGCTGGTATGCATCAGTCGGCCACGGCGAATATACCACTCAATACTGTTGCCTCGGGGAGCGCTTTTGGGCTCAACGGGCTCAGCACGGACATGGCACAGTCTATGCATGCAGATAGCACCAGCAGCAGCAGTAGCAACAAAAACAGCAGCGGGACTGGCGGCAGCAGCAACAACAATAACAATAACAACAAGCCCACCAGCTTGGAGGAGTGCCTCGTCTGCTCGGATGGCAAGCGAGACACCGTGTTCAAGCCGTGCGGCCATGTTAGCTGCTGCGAGACGTGCGCGCCGCGCGTCAAGAAGTGTCTCATCTGCCGTGAGACGGTCACATCGCGCGAGAAAATTGACGAGTGTGTCGTCTGCTCGGATAGACGAGCCGCCGTCTTCTTTCGTCCCTGCGGTCATATGGTGGCCTGCGAGCATTGCAGTGCGCTGATGAAGAAGTGCGTCTTGTGTCGCACACAGATCGATGAGGTGTTAACCTTTAACCTATGCTGCGGTGGTACGGGTAACACCGAAAAGGTCTGCGTCGCCGGCACCGTGTGCCTGACTGCCACCGACGAGAAGTTTATGGAGCCGCCATGTGTGAACACTTCCGGTCACAGCGTGGCCATGAATAACACGGTGGTCACCCCAGTTGCAGGCAGCAGCAACCAATTGAATAGCCAGAATAATTTATTAGCTGCTGCGGCAGCAGCTAATGCTACGAATTTACCAGCTGGCATGGTCGCGCCTTCTGGCGTCAACAATTTCCAAATGGACGATGTGCAGAAACTGAAACAACAGTTGCAGGACATCAAGGAGCAGGTGGGTAGCAGATGAAATATTCAAATTATAATCTTTGTTACTTTAAAAACAAAAGTAGAAGCAACAGCGCGCCATTCGTTTATGTCTAACAACAATTTAATGGCCTTTATATCTTTGCAGACAATGTGCCCTGTTTGCTTCGATCGAATTAAGAATATGGTCTTTCTGTGCGGACATGGCACCTGCCAGATGTGCGGTGATCAAATCGAAGGCTGCCCCATTTGCCGCAAGACGGTGGAGAAGCGTATTTTGCTATTCTGAAGCACAATATATATTTATCCAATTCTTGGCACACATTCCGCGCACAGTCCCCAGGCACATCAGCGTGCGAATCGGCCTTAAATTAAGTATTACTTAGAACAAATAGCATAAAAGTCTCGATGTATACTCATATATACAAGTACGCGCATATATCGTCTTATAAAGCGAAAAATATATATATATTTTTAACAAATATTTCTCGAAATCCAAACTAAGCCGTTACATTCTTTATGCTTTCATTGCCTCCTTTGCTTATTAGATCCTTGAGAATGTCTTTTTTGGCCTCAAAGTAATCGCGGAACCACAAAATGTGCTCTTTTTTCTCCTGCGCCGTAACATACGGGTTTTTTGAGAGGCCTACGCACACCAGCTCCATGAAATGGCGTATGGGCCCCTTGTTGGGACACCAGCCCTCCAAATGCTGTTCCAGAAAGATGTGCTCCGAAAAGTCAACGTTCGCCTCCTCATGCATATCCTGCTCGTTATCAATCGGAAAACGCCAAACTTTGCCTTGTGCCGTCCATTGGATCATCTGCTCAAAGTAGTTGGCGGGTGGATGAGCTGCCTGTAGTTTCAATTCACGCTCATTTAGCGAAGACCAGGTGGAGAGCATGTCCGGTGAATCCAGTAGCTTTGTTGAGTCTTTGGTAAAAATACCCAAAGGTTCGCCACCATACAAGTTGACGCTGCCTGAGAAGGTTTCCGCTTCACGTTTAATGTGTCGTTGCGGACGCTGCGACGACGAGTGGTCACCCGACCTGGATTTGGGACGCGATGCCAATGTGCGACGCACATATTCGCCACGAGTTTGCTCCGTTTGCTGCGGCTGTTGGCGACGATCGATTTTCATGCCCACAATTAGTTCGCTAAAAGTCGCCAGAAAAGGCAAAGTTATGAAAGTGGCAATTGAATATCGGAAAGCAGACACCTTAAATTCAGCTCCTTTTCTGTGCCGGCAGTTGCTGCTGGTGTGCTCTTCTCATCGCCTTGCGGTGCATCTGGTCCACCTTCTACGCTGTGTCCCAGTAGTTTGGCTAGCAATTCGGATTCGGTTTGCTTTCTCTCGTTTTCGCCCGTGCCCAACATACTGGCAATATTCTTGGCTGCTGTGATAACGTCCTTCGTGGCAGCATCCTGCTTTAGTGCCTCCCGGCGCCGGCGATTAGCATCCCCGGGGCGTGGAAAGTCCGCATCCGCTAGCTGATCCGTAGTTTGCATTTGCATGCTGCCCAGCAAGCGATTCAAGCGCTGCGCTGCTGTTTCTTTGGGTTTCTCTGCAGACTTACGCTGCTTCTTCGGCTGCTTCTCATCATCCGAAGAGGAGGCACCATCATCGTCCTTCGACTGGGAAGAGCTTGAGTAGCTTAGAAGTCCCACGTTTTTGCAGGCTGCCGGCAGCAACGCACTGTTAATAACAATGAAAATAACAACATGGCAACAAGCTGTGCTTATTGATGTATCACTTGCCGTATATTAAACTTTTGTGTATTACGTAGTGCCAACATTTTAGCTTATTTCTTTGATAATATCACAGAAACTCAACCCAATAACTTTTTCAGGCACCTTGCGCTCGCGTAACAATAATAAGCCAGACCAGAATGACAATATGGCAACGCCGCCACCGCTTGGCTAAACTATCGATTATTTCGTCTGTTATCGATGTATAACTTATTATTGTTGCTATTTTTCTTGCCCATAAAAGTTGTGCAACAATGAAAGTAAACAAACAACGTCACAAGTTGTAATAAATGCAATTTATGGGTCCCACTTAATTTTCAAGATGAGTGGAAATGCCTTTAACTTTGAAATAAAGTTAAAACGTGAGAATAAAGTGTATTATGAGAATGTGCGTATGTAAACAATCAAGCAAAATATTAAACTAATTAATTACATCTCGCAGGACATGCTGGTGGGCTGCGTGCAGTTTCAGTGTCCGGCTGAAACCAAGCACGACGGCATACTCCTTACACTAGACGGCGTGGTCAACTTGCAGCTAAGTAGCAAAACTGTCGGCCTATTCGATGCCTTCTACAACTCGGTGAAGCCGATCAATTTGCTACAGAACAGTCTGGAGCTATCGGCCCCGGGTAAACTAGGTGCCGGCAACTCGGAATTTCACTTTGAATTGCCATTGGTGTGCAAGAAGGAGCCCCGCAAACTATATGAAACATATCACGGCGTCTTTATCAGCATCAACTATCAAGTGAAATGCGATGTAAATGTTAAGCGCAACTTTCTGGGCAAATCGCTGCAGAAAGTGCAGCAATTCTGTGTGCAATACAAGCCCGCGCCCCTAAGCGACGAGGCGACCCGCGCCGTTCCGTTCAGCCTGAGCATGACCAATGCCAAGGAGCGTGTAACGATGCCCCGTTTCCTAATCACTGGTCGATTGGATCGCTTGGAATCCTGTGTCACGATGCCCATTACAGGCAGCCTGACCGTGCAGCATACCGAGGCGCCCATAAGGTCCATTGAAATGCAGCTGGTGCGCGTGGAGACTTGTGGCTGCGACGAGGGCTATTCCAAGGATGCAACTGAGGTGCAAACCATACAGATTGCCGACGGAAACGTTATGCCCAAGCTGGAAATACCCATATATATGGTGCTGCCACGTTTGTTTACATGCCCCACGCTTTTAACCAAGAACTTTAAAATTGGTAGGTTGCGGTTTTCCCTTTTATGACATTTGGTTTCATTAATAAAACTTATGTGTATGCTTGCAGAATTTGAGCTGAACTTGGTGGTGCTGTTTAAGGAGGAGCACACTGTCAGTGAGAATTTTAAAATAGTACTAAAGCGCGCTTCAGGCCCATTGCTTAGCAAAATAAATACAGCTGGACGTTGAACGCATCGAATAACTGCCAACTATTTACATACAGTTCAATTAAAGCTTACACTCAAGTCGTCTGCAACTGGATGCTAATATCAAAAAATTATAAGCAATATATGCTCTGTCTCGAACCTCTATTAACACTAAATAAAAACTTTTTTAAAATAAAACTGGCATTTTATCAACCAACCACTGAATAAGTATTTAAAAATTTGCGCGCTATTAAAGTGCTGCCACCCGATCTATAAATACAATCTTAAAAATGACCTAAAAAATGTCAAAATCTGAAACGGTCAAAATAAAATGAGCCCAAACAAAAAATTCGAAAAACGTATATAAATACGAATTCGGCGCTGATGGCAAAACAATATTAAACAAAGTTTAATAAAATTGATTTTCAATAACTACGATTTTTTCACATTGTTTAGCTATTCTCAAATATGCTGGTATTTGTTTAACATTAATTTCCTATTTCGCTTTACTTGAGATGGCGCCATCTTTTGTTTTCAACTTGATTATTATCTTTCAATTTACAACAGCTGCCAAAACAAACTTCACCTTAGGCAATTTTACTGTAATAATATTCGATGTGTGTATATACTATATATATTTCGGAGTTCCAAGATAGCACCCTCTTTATTATTCTTATATTCCATGATGCTGCTACTGCCGCTGCTGCGACCGGTAAGTGCATATCAATTTCCTGCTTGCCTCGTTTGCAAAAACTTTAAATCTTTAATAAATTAAGTGTGTGTGTGTGTGGGTGTGTATTTGCATGTGATTGTATGTAGGTACGTATGTACATGTATGTAGGTGTATGTAGGTACGTCTGCTCTTACACACACACACACACACAGCTTTTAAGTCTGTGCCGGTAAGCTTTATATACATGCATGCCTTCAAATATAAATTACTTAGCATACATATGTAAAATGCCGTGTTCTCTTATTTTTAGGAGGTTACGACTATACAGCAGGTGTTTCTTAGAGCTCTTTTACATTCAACATTCGGTGTATAAATATTGCAAACTATATTCACACATGCATATGTACATAAATACATACATATATTTGTATGTAGCCAACGCAAGTCTCAAGTTCACTAAATTATGTACATACATATGCATGCATGTGCATACATATGTACTACATAGATATATTGTGAGTACATATGCACATACATACATATATTTGTTCTACTTGGCGGCGTAACTTTCATCCATAAAGAAACACACAGACACTTATACCCACAAGCGTATTTATTTAAGACAAATAAAAAAAGAAACTGTTGCTTTCTCCTTCTGTTGGTTAACAGTCGGGTAGACGATGTAGCGGTGTGGGAGGAGGGGGGAGGAGGGTGGGGTTGGGGAGAGGCTTCAAACTGAAATTGAGTTGAGAAGCTGCTGATTCCTCTCACAGGCAGTTCAGGCTGCAATTTGTGTGTCACCAAATATACCACTAACAAAGAGCACCCACTGACAAACTTTTTCGAGACTTGTTGTATTTTTTTGTTGCTCCTTGCGTTCGCTTCTGTTGAAATAAATGGAAGGACGCTGTGGGCAACAACTTTTAAAGTAATACCCCCGAACAGAAAGTTTTCACACCAAATGTTGCCAACATGGCTGCTGCCTTGTACACGGATTTCGATATTAGTTGGCACTGTTCATGGGCAGCACTGGCAGCTGTCAAAGTCGCGTCGCAATGGGCGTACTGTGTCTGTGTGTGTGCTTGTGTGTGTGCATGTGTGTGGATATTGTGGGATTGGGCTTAGCATTAAAGTGCCGTCACGTCGTGTAATTGATTTAAAATTAGCACATCGCTTGCAAATTTAAATTGTTTACATGTGCCTGGAGACAGCTGGTGCTGTGTGTGTGAGTGTGTGTTTGTGTGTGTGTGTGTGTTTGTGTGTGTGTGTGTGTTTATGCATGTTTAATGAACATGGAGCTACCGCCAGGGCTGCTGTAATCGCATTTCAATATGCTATGCAACCCAAGCCGTGTCCCGTTGCGAGCTGTTCATCGCTCCTCCTCCTCCTCATCTCTCTCGCCCTGCGTTGCCAGGCAACGCTCTGCTTCGCCATCTGCTCTGTTGCAACGGCAATTTAGTTTGTACGGCAAACTTTTCATAGCTGTTCTGACCGGTAAACGAGGTCAACGCAAAAAACATTTTGAAAAATTCATATGCAAACGTATTTTCAGTTGCACTTGCAGGTGCCAGATTGCAAAAACAGAAATTCCCTTTTCAAGTGCCCGGGCCATAGAAAAACTTTTTAATGGCCGCACATTTTAATAGGTGTGTTGCTCAAGGTTATATAGAGTAGTTTCTTCTCCCACTTAGGTTCTAACCATTCGTTCAGACAACTTGCTCTTGATGCAAATTAAT